AGATCTTCACATGCCAGTGAGTACGTTGAACAACCTTAATAACCGATTCAAGCATTCTAAGTAAACATTTGTTCGTTTTTGTCGGTCTTACTGCTCTGGCATTTTTTGCCAAGCCGGCTTCCCAGTGACAATCTGCTACGCTAGCGCAATTTCCGTCAGACGTTTTAGAAAAGACGGATTAGAAGACTTTGTAACATAACCCGAATGCATAATTTAATAATCATTTATATTAAAATACTCTTATTTAGCTTTTTTTCTTTTCGTCTGATAACAAAAAAAAACTCAATGACACTGTCTGCCAGCAGTGTCACACGCGAACGATCATATTCAATCTAGGGTGGAGTTTCCACTGTGGCGCAATTTTTACGTGCGTACGCAAGTAAAATTGGGGCCCCAACCATTTGACTTTTGAGGAGGGGGGTGGGACTGGAGCAAAAAAAAAATTCCTAGCCTTTCACTGTGATCGATTATTATTCCTTATAATTTTGGTTTACGTAGAGACAGGTGTTGGGCTCCTATTAATAAAAGGATAGAGCCTTTGCACATGACGTCACGCCCAACATGTTGGTCGCGGTTCGTACAGGTCATGAAAAATGGAAAGTCATGGAATTTAAGCATTTCATTTTCCAGGCCTGGAAAGTCGTGGAATTGAATTGTCGGTTCTTGAAAGTCATAGAGAATTAAAGCTTTGTTTGATAGATCCGTTACTGAAGATGACAAGGCAAGGACAATATAAGATAAATGGGAGCAATTAAACAGGGCAAACGGCACGCATTTTGGTGGACACCAGAGTTTGTGTCTGTTGAATCTTTAAGATCCAAAACTACCCTAAAACAAGGGAAGTTTTTAAAATTTTTGAAAGTGACAGCTAAACCCAAGGTCTTGGAAAATTTAAAAAGGTCATGGAAAAAGTCATGGAATTTGAAGAGCTCGAAAGAGTGTGAACCCTGTTGGTGTCTTAAAAGAATAAAACGGCGGCCATGTTGGTGTCTCAAACCAATCCTGTGGGAATGAACTCTTTTTCTTTTGTCGAAATGAATTTACACAGCCACTGGCTACGTGAGTGAAAACGCTCAAAGATGCGTCGATTTTAATTTTTTCTTGTTCCAGGTCTGTTTGCAGGGTATCAAAAATAGTAGGCCGCTTATTTGGCTGGTTTTCACTAGCGATGGAGTCAGAGTCGGATCGTAAGCGGATTCGCAAGAGCGCTTATTGCCTTGTGAAAATCAAAAATCGGAGTCGTAAGAGGAGTCATAAGCGCGACGGAATTGCAGTCGGGAGAATCAGGACGTTTCCATTTTCTTCTGACTCCGCTTATAGTGAAAACCAGATTGTGGGAAACACAAGCAGAAGGATAAATAAACTAATCGTAATGCAAGTTCCCACTCTTTGTGATTGGTTTAGTTCTGGGCCCAGTTGTTCAAAAGGTGGATAACGCTATCCAGCGGATAAATTACCATCCAGCGAATAACACAATCAGTGTTTGTAATACTTGTCCACTGGATAGTGATTTATCCGGTGGACAGTGCTATCCAACTTTTGAACAACCGGGGCCTGAAGAAAATGGAAACGTTCTGGTCCCGGTTGTTCAAAAGTCGGATAGCGCTATCCACCGGATAAATCGCTATCCAGCGGATAAGTATTACGAAAACCAACTGCGCTATCCTTTGGATAGTAATTTATCCAGTGGATACCGCTATCCACCTTTCGAACAACTGGGGCCTGATTCTTCTGACTCCGATTCCGTTGCGCTTACGACTCCGCTTACAACTCCGAATTTTGATTTTCACAAGGTCATAAGCGCTCTTACGACCGCGCTTACGATTCCGACTCCGACTCCGTCGCAAGTGAAAACCCTTGGCTTCAAATCATTTGCAAACTTTATGGCTTATAAAAATAAAGACTGAATCATTCATCAAGAACAAAATAAATAAAAATGAATGTTCCTTGACAACCAGCAAGGCACTGCAAAAATGTGCCGTTCATCAAAAGATATAATAAGAGAAAACAGTATGGTTTTTTTTTAGTAATAATAAAGAAAGGAAGAAAACCTGGGGTTTCCCAGCCAAGAAAAGAAAACGAGAGGGATAAAGACAAAATTCCGAGTATTTTAATGATAAAATAAGAGGAAAAAGGTTACAGTTTAGCTGAAGTGTCTTATTGCGTGCCCATTTCAAACTTTCTATCCGTAATGCAGTTTGTAGAGACAATAGACGCCTTTCTATTTTTCTACGAATCAAAAGTCGAGACAGTATTGACGAGGCATTACCAATAAGTGTGAGTTTTTTTTCTTTTTTAATTAATTCGTCTGTTTTTTCATGCTAGCAGAATTCGCTGTTTATTCATAACTTATAACGTTGTACTCATAATTTGACATATCTGCACCGGCAATATTTACTCGAAAATTTTTTGGTAAAGTAGGAACTTAATATGAACGTTAACTTCTTGGCATGCTCTTTGTTCATTTTGGTATCTGTCTGTGCACTGAATGCTAAGAACTACCAAGCACCCAAACGAACAACGATGGCAGCTCAACGAAACTGTAAACCAGGTCCACCCCTGCAAAGAAGGCCTGGAAAAATCAACTGCCTTATTATCGGCGACTCCATAAGTATACGGTAAGATTTTCGACGATATATAAATGGTATTGCTATTTCTACCTCGGCAATACTTACCTAAACGTAGCACTAAGTGACAGTTTAAATGAAGGATTTTTTTAATGCCACACTAAGTGTACGAACCCGTTTATTCAGTAAGGAATGGACCTGATTTAATTTTGTATTTTCCCATGGGCTTATCATTGATGAAAATCTCTCGTGGAAGGCCCACATTCATGAAATCTCTAAAAAAAAGTATCTACTGGTATGGTGCTCTTTAGCGAGTCAGGCTATTTGTTTCAATGCACACTGCAATTAAAATATACAAAGATCTTATCGAGCCACACTTCTATTATTGCAGCGCTGTATGGGATGGCTTGACCCAACAGGTTAGTGAGAAACTTTAAAATCGTGCTATCAGAGTTATCACTAAATCTAGCTTTGATACGCTGAGTTCCTGATATCTTAGTTGAGACAATTTATCGGTTAGAAGGGCTAAACAAAAGGCTAATTTCATGTACACATGCATTAACAATCTCGCCCCAGGTTACCTCTGGAATTTGTTTGCCCCAATAACATCGAATTACTATTTTTGCAACCGCAAAGAAAAAATTAATGCCCCCAAAACCCAGAACTGATTACCTTAAGCGTAGCTTTAGTTACAGTGGCGCTCTTCTATGGAACAATCTTCCTGAGAAAAGTTCCCAAATATGGTTTTGTGATCAGTACTCCCACACGGCGAATATGTAAAACAGTTTTTGAGAATTTTTAATTAATTTTCTATGTTAGACTGATGTTTTTAACCGTGTATAAATAAAGTTATCATTCATTCATTGATTCATCGAGTTCAATTGGCCCTTTGCAATATATACGATCACATGGTTAGAACACAACTGGCAAACAACGCCGGGGGGGGGGGGGGGGGGGGGAAAAAAAAAAAAAAAGATTGGCTAATTCAAAATTTCAAGGTACCGCCCCGCCATTTCCCTCCAAAAAGGGGTGTTCTAGTTTATCATTTGAACCTCTTTTCCCTAGTTTTTGTGCGNTGTTTGCCCCAATAACATCGAATTACTATTTTTGCAACCGCAAAGAAAAAATTAATGCCCCCAAAACCCAGAACTGATTACCTTAAGCGTAGCTTTAGTTACAGTGGCGCTCTTCTATGGAACAATCTTCCTGAGAAAAGTTCCCAAATATGGTTTTGTGATCAGTACTCCCACACGGCGAATATGTAAAACAGTTTTTGAGAATTTTTAATTAATTTTCTATGTTAGACTGATGTTTTTAACCGTGTATAAATAAAGTTATCATTCATTCATTGATTCATCGAGTTCAATTGGCCCTTTGCAATATATACGATCACATGGTTAGAACACAACTGGCAAACAACGCCGGGGGGGGGGTGATGGCAAGAAAACTAAAGAGATTGCATCATTCAAAATTTCAAGGTACCGCTGCGTCATTTGCCATCCAGAGAGGTGTTTCTAGTATTACGCTTGAACCTCTTTTGCCTAGTCTTTGTGCGGCATTTTCCCAGGCCTTGTCGGTCAATTCATTTCGGGGACGTATCCGAGATGAACGCGCGGGAGACGCCCTCGCTATTTCGCTCGGACCACGTGACCCGAAACGCATTGGCCGCGCGGAAAAGACTAGGCAAGAACCTGTCCACAACAGCCAGCTTGGGGACAGAAGAAAATGGCCTTTGTAGAGAGGTTTAAAACAAGAGTCAATGTATGGACTGTCGGCCAAAAAAAGTGACCGTTGTAGAGAGGCTGCCGTTGTAGACAGGTGGCCTTTAGTAGAGGTTCGACTGTGAAAAATCGAATCAAACCTAATCGTGCAAAGGGCCTATAGTTTTCCAGTTATTCGAACTTTACTCAAATCGATGTCCATAACATTTTGCACGCTAATAATTCCGGATGTTAGCTCATCCTCTCCTCCACACTTGGTGCCCACACACGGTACCTAAGAAGGATCCTCGCCGGGCACCCCTTTGCACATGTAGAGCCTTTTCTTTTCTGTCTGAAAACGGATTGGCCGCAATGCTTACTGATTTCTAATTGGGCCTAAGTTTAGCCTAAACTAAAGGTTCTTTTTTTAATACTGGTGGTTTAGTTCTGTTAACACCAATTGGATTGACCGTTATACAGCTGATGAAAAGACTCCGCACGGAGGCCAACGAGGGATTTGACCGTAATTTGTTATACATGTCTTTTTAGAGAGAAAACTAAAAACTAAGATTAGTTCTACACATGTATATTCAAATCATAACATAAAAAGAAGAAAAGCACAGGTAGAAAACTGACAAAAACTACAGGATACGTAAGTTAAAGTTTAACCACCAATCAGTTTAATTAGGGATTAATCATCAGCCGCTCTTGAAGTGACAGATAAAATAACATACAGTCATACAGGATATCGTCGTGCCCCTACTCGCTTGTCTTCTTCCAACGCTACGCAGTCGTCTGTAAGATGAATTTCTGCTTCTTTCTTGTGTCTTGTTTGCTCATTGTGGCTTCTGTCTGTTCACTGAGAACTAACAATTCTCGTTCAGCGATGCGGCCAGCGGATCGGATCTGCAAACCAGGACCGCCATTGAAAAGAACTCCAGGGAAAATCAGCTGCCTTATAATTGGCGATTCTATAAGTATTGGGTAATGTTTTTTAATGACTAAACTTCCGTGTTGTTAAAGCTTATGCTTATTTCAGCGTTGGGACCAATGTGTAATCCCGTAAATGCCGACAGAGTTTGACGGGAGTTTGACCTTGTGTCCTTATTATAAACGTAATGGTGTTATCAAGGGGCGGAAATTGCAGACGTTTCAGTTCAATTCCGTTCAAGCAGAGTCCTTGCCAAGGAAAAAAACGGCTTTCATTCTAATTCACTTGAGCGTGGACAGCTAGTAGCGCAGGAAAAAGATCTGCATCGCAAAAAAAAAACCGAAAGCTGAGAAAATTGCTTCTAATGATATTCGAGCAGCTCTCGATCTGACCTTGACTGGAAAAATCATTACGTGACAGTTCGAACGAAGAGCAAGGCATCAGGGCCTGTTTACATGCGGTGAGCGAGCCCGGTTTGCTGGGTTTGGATCCCGGTTGCTCGAGCCGAGGCCTAGGCATGCGGGTCAACCGGCACTCTCATGTAAAACACAACGGTTAAGCGTGCCAGCCCGGCTATGGCTCAGTTCATATAAACAGGTCCTCAGACCTCGGAGTTTTTAAGGTTCTAGGGACCATAGCTAGCCTACCTTGCAGACATAATTTAACTTCGGTTAGTAACCAGACTTTAGTTTCATCTGTGGCGCAGACTGGCGCTAGACCATAGCCTACGAGCAAGCTCCCCACTCGGGGGAGTCGCGAGAAGTCACGCGAGAGGCGCACGCGATGGGAGATGCGAGTGCTAGGGGTGGGGAAAGAAAGGAGAGCATACGCCATATCAGGGCGCTATTGCCCGATAACCCCTTGGAACTGGAGCCGTTTCGGCGGAAAGATATATCAAGTGATCAGACATAGAGAGAAAATTGAAGGGCCAGGCGTTAAAAAAAAAAAAACGCGACCCAGAGATACCTGGAGGTGGGGCAGGCAATCTCTTAGTCTGCTACACAGCCGTTTTTAGTGTCGTCACGCAACGCTTCTAGTGGGGAGGAGCGTTGCGTGACGACTCTAAAAACGGCTGTGTAACAGACTAGCAATCTCTCCCTTGGAATCATATTTTGACTCTCCCCAACTCTCCCTCAGTTTGAAAGTCCAAATCGATCGCACAGCAAAATGGGCAAAATACGCCTGCCTTGCCGGCTAAAAGAGCCCACGACCAGAGACTTTCAAAGCTGAAACGTCTACATTTGATAACGGGTGCAACTATTTTGGTCTGAGTCCGGTCTAGATAGGCTTTGCTAGATTATGCTTGCTTAATTTTTGGCATGATTCGTCATCATTACGAGCATAATTTTCATCTACGAAAAAAAGCACTGCTTGCATAATTTGGACTTTTGGCTAGTTTTGCAGAACAAAATTTCCTTTTATTCATCATTCACCCATTTTTTTTGCCCGAGATCAGCGTTACAGGTAAGTTTAAGTGACAAAATTACTAGAAATGATCTAAGACACTTTCCACAAGTCTGAACGCATGAGCATAACTAGATTGGGTACCCAAAATGTCGTCCGCGTGCTGGTTGTTGATTGTTCGAGTTTTTATAGTCGTCAGACTATGAGTTATGCGCTTTTGAAGTTACTAGAATGATAGAAACAGGGTAGACGTGTTTTCCGTTAACTTGTATGTTGCATAGGTATTGAGATATTTTTACCAAATTTAAAGCAAAAACTAGCGCAATTAGTATAGGTAATAGCATGATTTGTAGCGATACGTGGCATAAAAACCGCGAGTGATATTTCAAAATTGTTATTCTCGGCTTGCACTGTCACGCAATGAAAAATAAAAATGCAAACCATTCAATACAGAAGGACTAAAATTCTGGGAAATGAAAAAAGATAAATATACAAAAACCCTTGCCAAGAATCAGGTCTGTGAAATATTTCAAATGCGAGATATTGGGAAAAACGGTTTACCTAAATTTTTAAGCTTTGTATGGAAACGCCATGTTGGTGTCCTTTTCAGGAACACCAATATGGCCGCCGGATACCAACAGAAACATCTGTTTTCGAGTTTTCCTACTAATGCGTGAATTCTTCGCTTGAGGAACTCATAAAGATTACAGTAATATTTATTCTGAGACAAGGAATGTTTAGATTGCAAAATCTCCAAAAATCGGTAATGTTTTTAACCCACATAAGAGCTTTCCCGGCCGCCAGCTAAATGCCGCGNGTCACGAGTGGTATTTACGCCAAAAATCACGTACAAAATATGCTATTATTTGTTTATACTACTACCAGCAAAAGGTTTGTAATTTTCACATGTAGGTTATTCAAATTAAGCTGAAATGCCACTCCTCTAAGCCAATCAAATTGCAGAAATTTCTCCGATGTAGTAGCGTAAATTCATTTAAGAACTCCTCATTTTTCAGATCGTTTTTAAGAAAAAAAAAAGAAAGAAAAGAAAAGAAACATTAAAGGTCTAAATGTACAAATGACATGGGTTCACTGGGAGTATTAGCGAGCGCCGTTTGGAGCCCAGAAAAGAACATCGGCACTGCTTCGCAGACGTTACTAACCAAGGTTGAATTACCTCTGCGACGCAGGCTATGGGAGTGTAAGAAGACTATTACAAAGAAACTGCATGTTTTAATTACGTTCGTGATACGCAGCTTCATTGCCCGTTGTCCTCGGCGATTTCGGATGTGACGTCACCTGTCAAGCTTGTGTGGAAAATTTACTCGGTTCCAAGCCTCTTCTGGTCACTCGGATAGCGCGAACTGGCCTGGGTACGAGGCTGCGTGATACGGATTTTAATGCGTAAGGACACGACACCTGACTGTCATTCTCTTTTCGTTTTCATAGTTACACTCCATGGGTGGCTAAAATGCTTGGTCCCGACTATCAAGTCCAGCATGCTCCTTGGGATCATTCGGACGGAGGTGCTCTCGACTCTAAGTATGGTCTTCAATGTCTGAATTTGTTTCTGTCTACCGTCATGTTGGAGCCAACGAGTTATGACGTCATCATCTTCAATTTCGGTCTGCACGACATCAACTATGCCGGTATATTTCCAGAGGAGCATGTTGCTCCAGAGGCGTACGCTAAAAATCTCGCACATATCAAGTCAATACTTCTTTCGACGAGGGCCAAAGTTGGATATGTTTTTACGACGCCAGTACCCTACAACATCACCCTAAATAATCGCGTCAAACAGTACAATATTATAGCACGCGATGTGATGAATGTAGAGCCTGCAGTTGCTACCGCTGACCTGTATACTTGGGTTGTAGAAGCGTGTGGTGATCCACCATACCAACATTGTCTTATTGCAGACAAACAACCGAGCCCCCATTACACGAGTCAGGGATACGAGTACCTGAGTGAGAGGATAAAGGACCTGATCCAAGATCTCTTCCAGGGCCTACACGACAATATTATCCCCAAAAAACCGAGAGACAATTCTCAATTCACTGACGACATCACACAAAGGAAACTGGCAAATTCTTGCTCGCAGAAAAGCGCAAAATCATTGGTGAGAACTGTTTTGTTTAAGAAGTTACCCTAACTACCCGTTACATAATAATTATTGGAAGAATCTGAGTTTAATTTGAAAAATTATGTTCCGCTTTTAGCAACCTCCGAGATCTGCGAAATTTTCATATCATGATAAGATAGCCAGATTCAATAAATGTTGTAGTACTCACTCAAAATGCTTCCAAGCTCATAACCTACTTAGCTCTTATACAAACAGCAGCTAGAGCAATAAAAGACTCTTTCCACTACGGACTTACCGACACATTTTCCTGTCGTCCCAACATCAAATTTTTTTCTTTCTAACTCGTATATTTTCCGGCGTCAAGTCTGACTAAATGTTTCCTTTTCTTGGATTGGTACTTATGCCAAGGTTAAACTGAAGAAATTGAATATCTGTATTCCTCTGATGCAAATGTTTTCAAATACGTTTCTTCTCGAACCTCGCCTTTACGAAGTCGCCACTATAGCTCGCGATGGCGATGGTGTCTGTAATAGCTTCCTTAAGTTTACAGCAAACTTCATTTTTTTTTGTTTTCAGATAACAGACAAACCTGTTGTTCCCTGTACAGACAAGACTGGCAAGGTAGTTACAGTCTGCCCCTACAACTCCACGTGCTGCGACTCGTTGTATTCCTCAACAGGACAAGGGTGTTGTCTTACACCGCAAGCCGTCCCGTGTGGGGACGAAAAACATTGCTGTCCCGTGGGTTTCGAATGCGATCCCAGCTGTTCAATTTACATGTGTTCATGTAAGGAAAAGATGTGAACACTTATCTTCTCCGAAGAAAAATCAAAGGGAAATTTTACAGAGGAAGTTAAAGCGATTAACTAAAAGAAATAGAGGATATTACATGGCCGCGCGGAGATGCGAAATTTCTCTTCTCGTGTGAAAAAAATATTTCACTCGTTCGCTGCGCTCACTCGTGAAATATTTTTCAACACTAGAAGAGAAATTTCGTATCTCCAAGCCAAGCGGCCATGTAATGTTCTATTTATTATATAAACACCAATGAAATACCAAATCATTTCACTTTAATAGTTTTTTTGGTGTGAAAGCCGCGGTTAATTATGTAGCCATAGCAACGGTGATCTTTTCACAAGTAAATTTCACGTGTGAAGATATCATCTTTTCGCGCGAAAGCTCGCCAGGTATTTCATTGGTGTTTATATAATAATTCAAGTCTGGAAGGTGATTTACTGGCATATGATTGTTTTCTTTTTAGACGTGAGGATACTGAGCCTCAATCTCCAAGTTTACAACAACAAGGAGATTCTTTAACGTATGTTGAAATCCAAAATTCGCTCGTGATCAGTAAAAACCCGCGACAAAGAACCTGCATTTTTCCAAGTTAGCCTAAACAAGTTCTTACAGAAATGGTGATTAGCACAGATTTAGGCTGTGTAAGTTCTTAAATGGGTTCTGTTTTTCTGAGGGGAAAAATGCATCATAGCTAAGGGTATTAGGTGGTATTCAGCTTATTCCTCATATATTATCTGCATATCATTATATTGCATTTGGAGGGATAGGACGCATGTCTCCAGAGACGGAGGATCCTGAATGCATGTTGACTTATCTCATTTGCCCAAGTGTACGAATTTTTTTTATAGATTTTAGAAAAGAAGGCCACGTTTCAAATTTTAGGTTTAACAGGTTCTTGTATAGAGGGGACCTTTCTGGCAAATTCTAGCCTAACTGTTTCTTGAAAAGTAGGTTTTTAGTAGCGGGTTTTACTGTATTTCAATCAGAAGAGGCGTTGCGTACTTCCTGCCTAAAAACATCTGCTTTACAAACAGTTGTCCGTTCATTTATCGTAAAGAACGATTGTCACGTACTAAAGATCAGGCTCGTTGATTCTTTGGCTTTGTTTTGTATTGGGCGCATGAAATTCCAGCCAAACGTCTTACTCGCGCTTATATTCCCAGGTAATTCCCTAAACTAATTAAAACAACTTCCGCTCAGCTTTTACCTGCCACAATTTAATATTTTCATAGTGCACATAACACACTTCACCTATTAAATTTTTGCATAAACATCCAGCCATCGATCCATCGATCCATCAATCCAGCGATCCATCCATCCAGCGATGTATTGATCCACCGATCCAGCGATTCAGCGACCTATCCTTCGATCTACTACTTCCCCGATCTACTGATCCACAAATCCAGCGATCCAGTGATCTACTCATCCACTGATCCAGTGATCTACTCATCCACTGATCCAGTGAGCTACTCATCCACCGATCCATCAATCCAGCGATCTAGCGATCTACCCATTCACCGATCCAGCGATCCACCCATCTTTCGATCTACTGATCCACCGATCCATCGATCCATAAATCAAGCGATCCAGCGATCCAGAGATCCAGCGATCTACTGATCTAGCGATCCAGCGATCCAGCGATCCAGCGATCTAGCGATCCAGCGAACTATCGATCCACGGATCCACGGATCCACGGATCCATCGATCCATCGATCCAGCGATCCAGGAACCTAGCGATCCAGCGATCTACTGATCCACCGATCCATGGATCCAGCGATCCGGCGAACCAGAGATCAAGTGATCTTTCGATCCACTGATCCAGCGATGTAGCGATCCAGCGATCTACTGATCCACCGATCCATCGACCCAGCGATTCACCGTTCCAGCGATCCAGAGATCCTCCTATCCAACGATCCACCCATCTTTCGATTTAGCGATCCAGCGATCCAGCGATCCACCGATCTAGCGATCCAGCGATCCAGCTATCCACCCATCTTTCGATCTACTGATCCACCGATCCACCGATCCACCGATCCACCGATCCACCGATCCACAAATCAAGCGATCCAGCGATCCAGCGATCCAGCGATCTGGCGATCCATCGATGCACCGATCCATGGATCGGGTGGATCCAGAGATCAAGTGATCTTCCGATCCAGCGATCCACCGTTCCAGCGATCCAGCGATCCAGCGATCCACTGATCCAGCGATCCAGCGATCCAGCGATCTACTGATCTACTGATCCACCGATCCATCGATCCATCGATCCACCGATCCAGGGATTCATCCATTCACCGATCCACCGATTCACCGATCCATCGATCCACAAATCCATCGATCCATCGATCCAGCGATTCATCGATTCACCGATCCACTGATTCACCGATCCATCGATCCACCGTTCCAGCGATCCAGCTATCCACTGATCCATTGATCCAGCGATCTACTGATCTACTGATCCACCGATCCACCGATCCATCGATCCATCGATCCATCGATCCATCGATCCAGGGATTCATCGATTCACCGATCCGCTGATTCACCGATCCATCGATCCACAAATCCATCGATCCATCGATGCAGCGATTCATCGATTCACCGATCTGCTGCTTCACCGATCCATCGATCCACCGTTCCAGCGATCCAGCGATCCACTGATCCAGCGATCCAGCGATCTACTGATCTACTGATCCACCGATCCACCGATCCATCGATCCATCGATTTATCGATCCAGGGATTCATCGATTCACCGATCCACCGATTCACCGATCCATCGATCCACAAATCCATCGATCCATCGATCCAGCGATTCATCGATTCACCGATCTGCTGATTCACCGATCTATCGATCTACAAATCCAGCTATCCATCGATCCAGCGATCCAGCGATCCAGCGATCCACCGATCCATCGATCCAGCGTTCCAGCGATCTAGCGATCCATCGATCCACCGATCCACTGATCCACCGATCCACCGATCCACCGATCCACCGATCCTCATCTTCAGCGATCCAGCTATCCAGCGATCCTCCAATACATACTTATTTTACGAGTTGCCTGAATCGAAGCAAGGCAAGAAAAATGGCGCCGTGTAGCTGGATGACTATACAGCGATCTTTCAATCTAATGATCCACAAGAGAAATTTCGTATCTCCAAGCCAAGCGGCCATGTAATGTTCTATTTATTATATAAACACCAATGAAATACCAAATCATTTCACTTTAATAGTTTTTTTGGTGTGAAAGCCGCGGTTAATTATGTAGCCATAGCAACGGTGATCTTTTCACAAGTAAATTTCACGTGTGAAGATATCATCTTTTCGCGCGAAAGCTCGCCTGGTATTTCATTGGTGTTTATATAATAATTCAAGTCTGGAAGGTGATTTACTGGCATATGATTGTTTTCTTTTTAGACGTGAGGATACTGAGCCTCAATCTCCAAGTTTACAACAACAAGGAGATTCTTTAACGTATGTTGAAATCCAAAATTCGCTCGTGATCAGTAAAAACCCGCGACAAAGAACCTGCATTTTTCCAAGTTAGCCTAAACAAGTTCTTACAGAAATGGTGATTAGCACAGATTTAGGCTGTGTAAGTTCTTAAATGGGTTCTGTTTTTCTGAGGGGAAAAATGCATCATAGCTAAGGGTATTAGGTGGTATTCAGCTTATTCCTCATATATTATCTGCATATCATTATATTGCATTTGGAGGGATAGGACGCATGTCTCCAGAGACGGAGGATCCTGAATGCATGTTGACTTATCTCATTTGCCCAAGTGTACGAATTTTTTTTATAGATTTTAGAAAAGAAGGCCACGTTTCAAATTTTAGGTTTAACAGGTTCTTGTATAGAGGGGACCTTTCTGGCAAATTCTAGCCTAACTGTTTCTTGAAAAGTAGGTTTTTAGTAGCGGGTTTTACTGTATTTCAATCAGAAGAGGCGTTGCGTACTTCCTGCCTAAAAACATCTGCTTTACAAACAGTTGTCCGTTCATTTATCGTAAAGAACGATTGTCACGTACTAAAGATCAGGCTCGTTGATTCTTTGGCTTTGTTTTGTATTGGGCGCATGAAATTCCAGCCAAACGTCTTACTCGCGCTTATATTCCCAGGTAATTCCCTAAACTAATTAAAACAACTTCCGCTCAGCTTTTACCTGCCACAATTTAATATTTTCATAGTGCACATAACACACTTCACCTATTAAATTTTTGCATAAACATCCAGCCATCGATCCATCGATCCATCAATCCAGCGATCCATCCATCCAGCGATGTATTGATCCACCGATCCAGCGATCCAGCGACCTATCCTTCGATCTACTACTTCCCCGATCTACTGATCCACAAATCCAGCGATCCAGTGATCTACTCATCCACTGATCCAGTGATCTACTCATCCACTGATCCAGTGAGCTACTCATCCACCGATCCATCAATCCAGCGATCTAGCGATCTACCCATTCACCGATCCAGCGATCCACTCATCTTTCGATCTACTGATCCACCGATCCATCGATCCATAAATCAAGCGATCCAGCGATCCAGAGATCCAGCGATCTACTGATCTAGCGATCCAGCGATCCAGCGATCCAGCGATCTAGCGATCCAGCGAACTATCGATCCACGGATCCACGGATCCATCGATCCATCGATCCAGCGATCCAGGAACCTAGCGATCCAGCGATCTACTGATCCACCGATCCATGGATCCAGCGATCCGGCGAACCAGAGATCAAGTGATCTTTCGATCCACTGATCCAGCGATGTAGCGATCCAGCGATCTACTGATCCACCGATCCATCGACCCAGCGATTCACCGTTCCAGCGATCCAGAGATCCTCCTATCCAACGATCCACCCATCTTTCGATTTAGCGATCCAGCGATCCAGCGATCCACCGATCTAGCGATCCAGCGATCCAGCTATCCACCCATCTTTCGATCTACTGATCCACCGATCCACCGATCCACCGATCCACCGATCCACCGATCCACAAATCAAGCGATCCAGCGATCCAGCGATCCAGCGATCTGGCGATCCATCGATGCACCGATCCATGGATCGGGTGGATCCAG